TGGGCTTGGCACTATGGCTACTGCAGCCCCATTCTGATTTGGCCTGATCTTTGGGGAGGAAGGGCTAACACAATCTTGAGGTTTCATTTTTGTATCTTTTTTTTTTTTTTTAATCCTCACCCGAGAATATTTTTTCCATTGATTTTTAGAGAGAGTGAAAGGGAGGGAGGAGGGGGGGGAGAGAGAGAGACATATCCATTAGTTGCCTCCCACGTGGGCCCCAACTGGGGATGGGGCTCGAACCTGCAATCTAGGTACATGCTCTTGACTGGGAATTGAACCTGAGACCCTTCACTCCATGGGCCGACACTCTAATCACTGAGCAAAACTGGCCAGAGCATTTTTGTGCCTTTAGGCTGAAGGTTCTCCCCTCCATTTGACACAGTATGAACCTGATACTCTTCTCGCTCTGTGACAAGGTTGCTGGGTATCAGCAATACTCCTCTTTCTCCTAGCTCTTTTTTTAAAAATATGTTTTTATTGATTTCAGACAGGGAGAGGGAGAGAGATAGAAACATCAATGATCTGCCCTGGCCAGTTTGGTTCAGTGGATAGAGTGTCGACCTGCGGACTGAAGGGTCCCAGGTTCGATTCCAGTCAAGGGCATGTACCTTGGTTGCGGGCACATCCCCAGTGGGGGGTGTGCAGGAGGCAGCTGATTGATGTTTCTCTCTCATCGATGTTTCTGGCTCTCTATCCCTCTCCCTTGCTCTCTGTAAAAAATCAATAAAATATATTTTTTTTAAAAAAGAAACATCAATGATGAGAGAGAATCATTGATCAGATGCCTTCTGCATATCCCCCAGTGGGGATCGAGCCCCCGGCATGTGCCCCAACTGGGAATCGAACCGTGACCTCCTAGTCCATAGGTCAATGCTCAACCACTGAGCCATGCTGGCCGGGCTCTCCTAGTTCTTTATGTCAGATTCAGACCTGGCCCTGGAGAATTACTATCGTGAGGGGAGACAAAACCAGACACAAACCTTCCTGGCACCATGGTATCAGGGTTAGGCCGGAGAAACTATCTGAGGTTAAGGGAGTCAGAGGAGTCTGAGAGGGAGAGTGAAAGCTACATGAGAAAAGCACACGTGAGTAGGGTTTTGAAGTTTGAATAGTAGTCTGCCATGTGGCTCAATCAAGTAGAGCCCTGTAGGACAAGGACAAGGGAATGGCACATGCAAAGGTCATGGAACAGGAAAAGGGCTTAGCATACTCAGTTGGCAGAGCCCTGGAGACTGACCAGAAGCATTGGTGGCCTCTGCTACCAGGCTGGACCGCTTTGAGAAAACCAACGAGATGCTGGTGAACTTCAACAACCTGTCAAACGCCCGCCTGCAGCAGATGAGCGAGCGCTTCCTGCACCACACGAGGACCCTGACGGAGATGAAGCGGGACCTGGACAGCATCTTCCGCAGGATCAGGTACGTACGTACGTGGCCCCGCTGGCCTCTGCCTCCCTCCCCCCCCGCCCAGGCCCGGTCCTCCCCTCCTCAACAGGGCCCTCCACCTAACAGAGTAACACATCAAGGGCAGATCCAACTCGCTTGTTTTTCAAGGCTTCATCTTGCACTTAGCACCCAAGATTTGAACTCTGGCATAAAAATCACAAAGTTTCTGAATTTGAATTTTATTTATCTTTTGAAAAAATGCAACATAGCACCAGACACATGATGCAAAAAAGGCAGGCAAAGAGCAAACAGTGAAAAGCCGGCCTCCTGCCCCCCTATCCCTCTACCCAGATTTTCTCTCAAGAGACATATCAGATTGCTGGGTTTTAGGGTATGGGGAGCCAGCATTTCTCACCTCCACTGATCTGCTCATTGGGCTTCAGCCTGGCCCTAACACAGACACCCTCACCGAGGGTGCCCACTCCGAGGGTGGGAGTTTTGCAGGGCTGAGTGCCTGGGCCTCTCTCCAGTCCAGGAGCACAGTGTGACAAGCAATGAGGGGGAAGTTCCCACCACCCACTCACCCAGAGCTGACAGCAAGGGTTGCTAGCCTGCATGTGGCCCAGCCTATCTGCTCAAGGGGTTCAGCCTATGTGCCTTCTCTTACCCTGCAGGACGCTGAAAGGGAAGCTGGCCAGGCAGTACCCAGAGGCCTTCAGCCGTAAGTGTCACCCAGGGCTCCTGTGCCCCATGTCTGGTCTCTGCAACCCTTGGATGCCACCTTCTTGAGCCCAGGGCTGGCTTTTGGAAAGTCACCTCAGGGGCTGGTGGGTAATGGGTCCAAAGAGTCCTGGAACAGGGTCCCCTCTCTGGGGGGAGGTGGCAGGGACAAGAACAATAGCAATCCTTGCCCCAGTGAGTGCTACATACCCTTACAAATAGGCTGTTACCCATAACCAGCTGTGAGGTGGGGGCCGTATCCCCATTTCACATGGCAAAACTGAGGCCCAGAGGGGCACCTGCTTGTCAGAGGAAACACAGTGTTCCCTACACTGAGCCTCAGTTTAACCCAGGTGCTGAATGGGCCAACAGCTCCCACCCCACAGACAACCAGAGGTAGAGGCAGTGCCATTGCCATCAGCCCCAATTTGTCCAGGAGGGAGCTAAGGCAAGGGCAGGTGAGGGGCCCGACTCAGGTGACACAGTTGAGGGCAGAGCCAGGCTCAGGCTTGACCCCAGGACCCATATCAGCCTGATCCAGAGAACCTGAGTCCTTACCTCACTTTGGAGGCCTCTCACCTGCCTGGGCCTCAGTTCCCTCTTTTGTAAAATGGATGAAGTCATGCCCCATGGCAGGGTGGGTGGGGGTTGCTGTCATGGGGTCACAGGTCCAGTTAATCCCTCATCATGGTGACTAAGCCAACTCCTGGGCCACCTTCCCCCAGACGTCCCAGAGGCATCCCTCCTGGAGGACGACGATGAAGACCCCATCCCGCCCAGCACCACGACCACCATTGCCACCTCGGAACAGAGCACAGGTTCCTGTGACACGAGCCCAGATACCATCTCACCCTCCCTCAGCCCTGGATTCGAGGACCTGTCCCAAATCCAGCCCAACTCCCCTGCCATCAATGACCACAGCCAGATGGATGATAAGCAGATGCCGGGCCAGTAGCTCTGTTCCCAGGCACTCCAAGGGGTCTCTCCAGGTGTCTGAGGTGGCAGCAGATAACCCTGCCTGGAAATGGTCAGCTTTGCCACCCTATTCTGTCACCCAGGGCACCCTGGGGGATAAGGCTCCCTCCCAGCATGGGGGAATCTGTCATTCTCACTCCTTCACTGAGGCTATTTTTCTCCTGCAGGCCCTCTGCCAGGCCAGGGGTTGAGCAGCCAGCTGGAGTTGTTGGGCTGGGCACAAGGAATCTTTTCCAGAGCCAGGCCTGAGGTCTGCTCTGAACAACATTTAAAGGTTCCCAAAGACAAAAGCCAGATGTCCCCTGTCTCAGCACCCCAGTCAGGACCTCCTTGAGGTGGACAAACACTATCATGTCTCAGTTCACTCCCATACCTACTAATTCTGGTCTCCCTGTCCCTTCCTCCAAGGAAAGTATTAAATACTTTCTCCAATCAGTATCTCAAGGAGGTTTCTGAAACAGGTGTAGAAAGCTCAAGACCATCCACTCAGCCCCAAGTGTGATAAAAGCCCACATTTGTCTGACCAAAGGTGTGAGCCCTGAGGGCCCTGCAGATCTCTCCCAGGGCCTCCGTGAAGCCAAGCCACCTTGGAAAACAGAATTTAACAGAATATTTTTGTACCCGATGTTTACAGATGCTGTTGGGAAGTTATCAATAAAAAGACTAAAAAGAGAAGGGTGTACCCAGCAGTGGCTTTCTTCCATCCTTGTGTCCATCAGCTCAGAAGGGGGACAAGTGCTGGAAGTGGGACAGGATGGGGTGCAGACATAATAACCCAGGTTCCTATAGCCATTGCTCCAACGCTGTTCTTTACCTCCGCAATTTTCAGCCTTTTTCATCTCATGGCACACATAAACTAATACTAAAATTCTGTGGCACAACATAAAGTATATTTTTGCTGTTATGAGAAAAAATGTTTTAAAAATTCTTGCGGCACACGGGTTGAAAATCACTACCTTACCTCCTTGAATAACTCCTCCAGATTTCAGTTGCTGGGTAGGCTCCTTGGGGAACTGAGATGGTCCCCTTCCCCATTAGAAACTCAGAGTCCTTGAATCTTTGAAGCACTTGCTTTAGCCTGATCCATAGGGGCACTGGGATGAGTTCAAAGAAATGAAGAGGTACGCTGCCAAACCCACCAGTAACTTCTAGGTCCTCACCTCTTTCATACGCCGGCCACTTTTTAGCCATCCGGGAGTCTGCGAGGTCTCACCCCATATTCTTTTTAAATATAATGTTTTTAAATTGAGTTTAGAGAGACAGGGAGAGAAACAACCATGTGAGAGAGAAACGTTGATTTGTTGCTTCTTATATACGGGATGGAACCCACAACCTGGGCATTGCCCTGACCAGAAATCCAACCAGCGCACAGCAAGTCGCTCAACCAACTGAGCCACATCGGCCAGGACCCCACCCCATTTTCTTGAGCCGATGCAGCAATCCTACCTGTTTTCCCTGCTCCCCAGGCGCGCCGCCCTCAAATCCATCAGCGCACAGCCGCCAGAAAGTTTTAGAATAACTGGCTCCGGGTGTTAGGTACCTACGTGGCTCCCAAGGGTCCCAGGCCTCCTCCTACCTTTCCTGCTACACCCCCGCTTCCTATGCCCGCAGACCCTCTGCTTAATGCCTCGATTTAGCACAAAAGTCTACTCCACCCAATAAGTACTCGAGTTCCCGCAACGTCGGGTCTTCAGCCGACCTGAAACAGCGGGTAGAAACACCTGGTAGTGTGGCCGACTTCCCAGGTGACCCGGGGCGGAAGTGCACACCCGGAAGCAGGTGAGCGACACTCCCGGCTTCGTTCTCCAGCGCACTACTCGGCGGCGGGGCGGGGCAGGACGCGCGGCGCGAATTGTGACGCACGCGTGCAGCGTACTCAGTGCGCAGGCGCTCTCGGCGGCGATTCGACGGTTTCCGGTTCCGCCGTCCTCTTTCTCGTCAACGAGGCGGCGGAGCAGGTTGGTGGTAGTGTTCGTGCGGGTTCGCGTCGGATCGGGGTCGAGCGGGAGGTACGGGGCCGAGGCAGCGGAGGGGGCGGCCCGAATCCGTTCGTGCGGGTCAGGCTCCGCGGGTCGGCTAAGTAGCGCGTATTGGGCCAGTGTTTTGGGCCCCAGGAGGCGAACGGGCCTTTGGGAGAATGGCTTGCCCGCGCC